CTTCTCTGTTTCCTATTCTATTCTTAACCTCCCCTGTCTATTTTGTGCCTACAATTTATGCCTCTTATTCCCTGTACCTTTTCCCCCATTCTCCACCCCTCCCTGTTGATAACACTCCATGTGATCTCCATTTCTCTGATTCTGTTCCTGTTCTAGTTGTTTGCTTTTGTTTTTGTTTTAGGTATGGTTGTTAATACTTGTGAGTTTGCTGTCATTTTACTGTACAGGTTTTTTATCTTCTTTTTCTTAGATAAGCCCCTTTAACATCTCTTATAATAAGGGCTTGGTGATGATGACCTCCTTTAACTTGACCTTATCTGGGAAGCACTTTGTCTGCCCTTCCATTCTAAATGAAAGCTTTGCAGGATAGAGCAATCTTGGATGTAGGTCCTTGCCTTTCATGACTTGTAATACTTCTTTCCAGCCCCTTCTGGCCTACAAGATCTCTTTTGAGAAATCAGCTGATAGTCTTATGGGCACTCTTTTGTAGGTAACTCTCCTTTTCTCTTGCTGCTTTTGAGGTTCTTTCCTTATCTTTAATCTTAGGTAATGAAATAATGATGTGCCGTGGTATGTATTTTGTGAGTCCAACTCGGTTGGGGCTCTCTGGATTTCCTGGAATTTCTGGAAGTCTGTTTCCTTTGCCACATTAGAAAAGTACTCCATTATTTTTTCAAATAAGTTTTCAATTTCTTGCTCTTCCTCTTCTCCTTCTGGTACCCCTATGATTCAGATGTTGGAATATTTAAAGTTGTCCTGAAGGTTCCTCAGCCTCTCCTCATTTTTTTGAACTCTTGTTTCTTCATTCTGTTCTGATTGAATGTTTATTTCTTCTTTCTGGTCCAAACTGTTGATATGAGTCCTGGTTTTCTTTACTTCACTGTTGGTTCTCTATATGTTTTGCTTTATTTCACTTTGCATAGACTTTACTTTTTCCTTTATTTTGCAACCATACCCAGCCATTTCTGTGAGCATTCTGATTACCAGTGTTTTGAACTGTGTATCTGATTAGTTGGCTATGTTTTTGTTGCTTAGTTGTATTTTTTCTGGGGCCTTGATCTGTCTTTCATTTGAGCCACTTTTTTTTTTGTCTCAGTGCACTCGTTGTGTATTAAGGGATGGAGCTTTAGGTATTGCCAGAGCCAGGCAACCCACATCGCTGCGTTACGGTGCTGTATGTGGAGGAAGGGCTCGAGAGGGAACAGTGCTGCTTGCTGGGCTCTTGGCTGGCTTTAGTCACTTCCTCCATTACCCACAAACAAATTGGGCCCTTCTGGTACTGATTCCTCAGTGGGTTGGTTTGTGAACATTCTAGGACCCTGTAGGTCTCTCCAACGAACTGTCCTATGAGGCTGGGAGTTTCTCTCGCTGCTGCAATCCCCAAAGGTTTTTTCAGTCAGATTCTGAGGCTTTATTTCCCTGTATTGGAACCCTGGATTGCATGGTCTGTCTCACTCCCCAGTTGTTCTTCCCTGTTTATCTGCAAGCGAATGGGGGACCACCCGGTCCACCAGCTACCATCTTGCTGGGAGTCCAGCTGCCCATCTCCTCCCCTTCTACTGGTCTGGAGGAATGTTTCTTCTTTAACTCCTTGGTTGTTGGACTTACATACAGTTTAATTTTCTGGCAGTTCTGATTGTTTTTTGTTTCTAAATTTGTTGTCCATCTTTTGGTTGTGTGAGGAGGCACAGTGTATCTAGGTATGCCTCCGTCTTTGGAAGTTTGTACCTTTTGGTTACCTTTACCCATTTGCCCTGCCTTTAGCAAACACAAATCTGGTTTCTGCATTTCTAAACTTAGGTTTTTCTTTTCTTTTTTCTTTTTTTTAGATCCACATGAGAGATCTTCCTGTTTCTGTTGTTTGTTTTTGTTGTTCTCTGTCTGTCTTATTTCTCTTACCATAATGCCCTCAAGTTCCATTCATGCTGCCACAAATGGCAAGATTTCATTCTTTTTTATGGATGAATAATTTGCATGTGTTTGTATGTCTGTGTCTCACATTTTCTTTACTCATTCATCCATAGAAGGACACTTAGGTTGTTTCTATATCTTGGTTACTATAAATAATGCTGCAAATGAACATTGGGGTACATGTGTCTTTTTGAGTTAGTGTTTTTTGTTTGTTTGTTTGTTTGTTTGTTTGAATAAATACCCAGAAGTGAAATTACATGGTAAAAATGTGGCCTTTTTTGTGTGACTTCTTTCACTTAACATAATTTTCCAAGGTTTGTCCATGTTGTAGCATCTATCAGTACCTCATTCCTTTTTGTGGCCAAAAAAAAACAAAACAAAACAATGTTCCATTGATTGGTTATACCACATTTTGTTCATCCCTTCATCTGTTGATAGACATTTGGGTGTTTCAACTTTTTGACATCTGTTGGATAATTCTGCTGTGAATATTGATGTATGTTTTTTCATAGCATGTGTTTTCATTTACTAGGTCATATGGTAACTTCACATTTAATAGTTTGAGGAACTGCTGAACTTTTTCTAAAGTACCTACACCATTTTACCTTACCACTATTATTGTTTGAGGTTTCCCAGTCTCTTCACATCCTCACCAACATTTATTATTGTCCATCTTTTTTATTATAACAATCCCAGTGGTAATGATTTCTGTCTTTTATCTGCTGGTGTACTGTGTCTAAGCTGTCCTATGTGTTTGAAGTAATGCTTCATCTTAGCATATCCTGGGTTTTTCTTAGACATTTTAGTTCAAGGTTCACTTCTAAGAATTCTTTCTTTCTTTCATAAATACACTTTACTAATTATTCACATGTTTAAGTTCTCACACTACATTTTTTTCAAGCTGGTGGACACTGACAAATTGTTTCTCCCACAGAACTATAACCACACATTCCCAGACAGTATAAATATATGGTTGAACTAACATTAACAAATATCACCATTTTATCAATTATATAATAAAACAAATTATCAAGTATACAAATCTTAAGTTACACAGCTTAAAAGGCATATAAAATACTAGACTTCTGCTCAGTTCATTAGCAGAACCCTCCTCCTCCTCTATCTTCTTCTTTCTTCCTCTCCTCTTTCCTCTTTTGGAAGAGAAGGTGAGAAGAGAAATAAACCACACTTGAAACAAAAATAAGTTGGTAAACAAATTCAGAGTGTATGAAAAGAAATATAAGAATTTCAGAATTTTTATGATTAAGAATTGTTTTAGCTACAACAAAGCATCTCTACCTTTACCTTTAAAAAATATTTACTGAAGAGCATACTCAGGTGTTCCACACAAGACAAAGGCAGCATTTTACTAAAAGTACTTAATAGCCCCCTCATTCTTTTCCCAGGCTCTCCCTAAAGAATGTATTTTTTTATTTTGAAAATTATGAATGTTTCTTTATATTTGAACTTCCAAGTGAACCTTTCTTTTGAATCTGACGATTTCTGTTTACACTGGTTTGTCTGATGAGTTTCAAGCTGTTAAAACTTTAAATTGTTAAAAGCATGTATTACATATTGTGGCATAGCAAGTAGTAAGACAAAACACCTGTTCACCTGTTAGTATAAGTGAAGGGAAATTATAATGAACACTGACAATGTTTGGAAGAATTGTTAGTGCATTATTGACTACAAAATGAGGAACTCCAATTATGGATGGACAAGAGTAACCAAAATGATGCTAGGTTCAATACAGTGTTTCTATTCTTACTCTTACCAGCAAGGTATAAGAAACGAAATTTTAAAAAAATTGAAACTTAGCACTTTTGTGTGCATGATGTCAGTTGTTCTTTACATCATCCAAGAGACATAAGTAGGATGAGTGCTCTTTATTGACCGTCATATCCATACCCATACCTATACCCATACCCATATCCATACCCATACCTTAAGATTTCAGCACCTTCATCTTGAACATGCCCGTAACTTAAGATTTCAGCACAAACTCATAACTATGTTGCTTTGTCTTAAATTATTTCAAAAAGTATTTGTTAGCAATAGCTTCAAACAAAACTTCAGTTTGCTAAGTTTCTGCATAATTATTTTTAGTTCCTATTTGTTCTCTATGTTATATAGACCAAAGCGATTAAGGTCTTCAAACATCAATTATGTACCTTTTTCTGAAATGCACAGAGAATTGCCTTGGTTGTTCCTTTTACATTTGGTTATATGTTAAAATAAGAGTTCACTCCCTACCCCCAACACTGAATTTTGAAACATTTCAAACCTACAAAAAACTTTGAGTTGTATATTAAATGCCTTTATTCACCAATTACCAATTATTGTTTTGCCACATTTGCTTTGTCTAAGTATAAATGCTTTATTTTCCTAAATTATTTGAAAGAAGGTTGGAGACATGAGAATTTATCTTTGTGTAATTCAGCTTGCATCTTCAAAAAATAATGGCATACTCCTGTATAACCATAATACTATTGTAACACCTAAGAAAATGCCTAGGAGTAGATTGCTTGATTGGGTGGTTTGTTTGTGTATTCTTTAAAAATTTTTTATTTTATTTTCTTTTTTTCTTTTTTCAATTTTTTTGTTTTGTTTCTTTAATTTTTTTTGCCTTTTAATATATTTTTAATTGCTTATTTATTTATTTATTTGGATGGTATATTTATGTTTAACCTTTTAAGAAAGTGCCAGACTGAACTGGAGAGCATTATGCTAAGTGAAATGAGCCAGGCAGTGAAAGACAAATACTATATGATCTCACCTATAAGTGGAACCTAATCAACAAAACAAACAAGCAAGCAAAAATACAACCAGAGATGTTGAAATAAAGAACAAACTGACAGTAACCAGTGGGGAGCCGGAGGGGATAATGGGGGAAAGAAGAGGAAGGATCTTCAAGGAACATGTATGAAGGACCTGTGGACAAAGCCAAGGGGGGATAGGATTGAGGGTAGGGGGTAGAGTTGGAGTGGGGGAGAGTGATTGGGGGGGAAATGGAGACAACTGTACTTGAACAACAATAAAAAAAAGAAAGTGCCAAACTATTTTCCAAAGTGCACATTTTGGATTCCCAGCAGTGATGTTTGAAGGTTCCAGTTTCTCTGCATCTCTACCAACAGTTGTATCATCATCATCATCATCATCATCATCATCATCATCATCATCATCGCCATCATTGTAATTCTGGTGAGTATAAAATGGTATCTCATTGTGGTTTTAATTTTCATTTCCTTAATGACTGATGGTGTTTGAGCATCTTTTCATGTGTTTATTAGCCATTCACATATTTTCTTTAGCAAAATGTCTACTTAAATATTTTGCCTATTTTTTAAAAAGTGGGTTTTCTCCTCATTATTGAGTCAAAAGAGTTCTTTGTGTGTTCTGGATACAAGTTCTTTGCAGAGTGCTATGCATTTTATTATGATGATGTTAACCATGAACCATGCTTAATTTTTCTAATTTGCCATGGTGCTTTTTGTGGGGTTTGGAATAATAGCTAAACTTCTGTTCTTAATTCTTCCAAATGCCTAGCACTGAAGCAGACTCAATAGTTTATGGCAGTGGTAGTCACCTTCCTCTTTATTCTGCAATTAAGCAGTGAGAAACTATTCCTTTCTCAACCACAAGAAGCAAATAGAAATACATTGTAGGTATTAGGGCCCTTTAACAGTTGCAAAAGCCAGAAATCCAATTTTGCCTACCTTAAGCAAAACAAAATTTTGCTATTTTTTCTTTCCCTTCCTCAGCTCTGCTTCTTTCTTCATCCTACTGACAGACTCTTCATGTAGTAGTCATCTTCGTCTCCAGATTTCAGTTCTTCTCAAAACAGCAGGAAGAGCCAATCTTCTTCATTAGCCCTACCAGAAGAGCCCAAGAAATGGAGTATTCTGGGTGGTCTGAGTCTCTTGCTCTGCTTTTGAGTAAGGTGGAACAACTTGATTTATAGTCCTGTTATAATGCAGTATGGAGCCTGGCTAGTGTGGCTCAGTTGGCGGGCGTCATCCTGCAAACAGAAAGGTCGCTGGTTCGATTCCTGGTCAGGGCACCTGGCTGGGTTGCAGGTCAGTTTCAGTTCTCAACTGGGACATGTACACAAGGCAGCTAATCGGTGGTTCTCTCTCATATCCATGTTTCTCTCCATTTTTTTCTCCCTCGCTTCTCCTCTCTCTAAAATAAATAAACAAACAAATAAAAATAATAATAATGAGAGGAGGTTCCCTATAGAGGAAGAGGTACTATCCAGACAGATAATATGTCCACTTCTTTAGGAATATTGTGCTAGGGGTGTTGTGTCTTTTTTTGTCCACTTTTATGAGAGTAAACCAAAAGTAATTAATAGAAGGTTAATATAGGTGGAGCAAAAGTAGGTTTACAGTTGTTTATATGGAAAAGAATGCAATTACAAAAAATAATACAAGAATAAACTGTTTTTGCATACTTACAACTGTAAACCTATTCTTGGAAAAAATCATGTTTGTTACCTGATAATTTGTTACATAATCATCAAATTATCGTTGTTAATGTAGTTTGTCAGCCCTTTACCTCTATGGGAGGTGGGAAGAGGTATGTAGAATGCTTTAGGTTAAACCAAAGATCACATGAGTTCGCTTAAATAAGAAAAAGTGCTACTAGTAAAGGCTAATTTTCATTTCTCTTGAGCATTCCTTTATTTCTCTGAATGGGGGTATACCAACTGTCTTGACTTCCTACATTCCTACAGATTGCTGAAATCAATTTTTTTTATAATTAGTTTCCTTCCTCTCTTCTTTCATTTACTTGGACTTTTAAACTCTTGTCAGTATCCATATTTTATATGATTCATCTTTGAAATGATTTTTATAAGTAAGGATAGTTCCCAGTTCCTTTTTATAACGTTGGGTATATGCTGTGTATGCTGATGGTAATGACACTGTTGCTGTAATTGTGATTTTCCTGCTCAAAAGAGCAATAATTTTTATCACCTGAAGTGTTTCTTATCCAAACTCTTAATAGACAGATATAGCAGATATATAAATATTCTCATGAAATTGAACCAGTAACTTTGGATACCTTGTGGCATTTGAGTTGCTTCCATACTCTTTCAGTATTCTTAAGCATTTATTTTCAGTGTGAAAATTATATGTGAAAATGAAACTTCTGGTTTTGGATTATGTATATAAAACGCATCATCTCTCATGTAGTTAGAATGGTCCTTAAAAGGTCATCTAGTATATTCTTCCACCCTTTACAAAAATCTCAAAATTACCCAACCACTAGCCATTGCTTAAACACTTGTAATGATTTTATGTAAATTTGTATCTTTTTTTTTTTTTTGATATCTTAATTTAAAAGCCCATCCTTGTTTTGAACTGAAGTCTCTTATCCTCTGACTTCTCTTTGTTCCCAGTTTGCTCTCTGGAGAAACACTTAGTATATGAACATATTTTTGAGTATTTGTCAAATGCTGGATTCACTGACAAAATTTAGAGTAGTCATTTTATCTACATCTTTTTTCTCTTTTTTTTAATTTTATTTTAATCATTGTTCAAATACCGTTTTCTCCCTTTTACTCCTAATCCAGCCCCCTCTCTCAGCCCTCCCCACTTCCCTCCCATTACCACCCTCCCCCTAGTTTTTGTCCATGGTTCCTTTAAGTAGGTTCCCGTGAACCCTTCCCAATGTCCCCTGAAATTCCCTCTACTCTCCCCTGTGGTCACTGTCAGCCTGTCCTCTATTTCAGTGTCTTTGGTTATATTTTGCTTGTTTCTTTGTTTTGTTGTTTAGGTTCCTGTTAAAGGTGAGATCATATGGTATTTGTCTTTCACTGCCTGGCTTGTTTCGCTTAGCATGATGTTTTCCAGCTCCATCCAAGCTGCTGTGAAGGGTAGGAGCTCCTTTCTTTCTGCTGCATAAAATTCCATTGTGTAAATGTACCATAGTTTTTTGATCCATTCATTTACTGATGGGCATCTTGGTTGCTTCCAGCATCTAGCTATTGTAAATTGTGCTGCTATGAACATTGGGATGCATAGGTTCTTTTGGATTGGTGTTTTAGTATTCTTAGGGTATAGTCCCAGCAGTGGAATCTCAGGGTCAAAAGGCAGATCCATTTTTTAGTTTTCTGAGGAAGTTCCATACTGCTTTCTATAGTGGTTGTACCAGTCTGCAGTCCCACCAACAGTGCACTAGGACCCCTTTTCTCCACAACTCTCCAACACTTGTTTGTTACTTTGTTTATGATGGCCATTCTGACTGGTGTGAAGTGGTATCTCATTGTGATTTTAATTTGCATCTCTCTGATAGCTAGAGATATTGAACATTGTTTCATGTGTCTTTGGATCTTCTGTATGTCCTCCTTGGAGAAGTGTCTATTCAACTCCTTTGCCCATTTTTTAATTGGGTTACTTGTCTTCTTAGAGTGTAGTCATGTAAGTTCTTTATGTATTTTGGAGATTAAACCGTTGTCTGATGTATCATTGGCAAATATGTTTTCCCATACAGTTGGTTGTCTTTTAATTTTGATACTGTTTTCTTTAGATGTGCAGAAGCTTTTCATTTTGATGAGGTCCTGTTTGTTTATTCTTTCCTTTATGTCCCTTCCTCTAGGGGACAAGTCAGTAAAAAACTTTCTGTGTGAAATATCTGAGATATTCCTACCTACGTTCTCCTCTAGGACTTTAATGGTGTCACGTTTTATATCTAAGTCTTTTATCCACCTTGAATTTATTTTTGTATATGGTGTAAGTTGGTGCTCAAGTTTCATTTTTTTCCATGTGGCTGTCCAGTTCTCCCAACACCATTTGTTGAAGAGGCTATTTTTATTCCATTTTATGTTGCTGTCTCCTTTGTCAAATATTAATTGACCATAGAGACTTGGGTTTATTTCTTGGCTCTCTGTTCTGTTCCATTGGTCCATGTGCCTGTTTTTATGCCAGTACCCGGCTGTTTTGATTACAGTGGCCTTGTAGTATAGTTTAGTGTCAGGTATTGTGATCCCTCCTACTTTACTCTTCTTTCTCAAAATTGAAGCAGCTATTCGGGGTCGTTTATGGTTCCATATAAATTTTTGAAGTGTTCTATGTCTGTGAAATATGCCATTGGTACTTTAATAGGAATTGCATTGAATCTATAAACCGCTTTGGGTAGTATGGACATTTTGATGATATTAATTCTTCCAATCCATGAACACGGTATATGTTTCCATTTGTTTGTGTCTTCCTTGATTTCATTCCTCAGTGTTATGTAGTTTTCTGAATACAGGTCTTTTACCTGTTTGGTTAGGTTTATTCCTAGGTATTTTATTTTTATTTTTGCTATTTGAAATGGGATTTTTTCCTTGATCTCTGCTTCTGCTGTTCATTGTTGGTGTACAGAAATGCCTTTGATTTCTGGATATTGACTTTGTATCCTACTGTTTTGCCAAATTCATTTATTAGGTCAAGCAGGTTTTTGGTGGAGTCTATAGGATTTTCTGTGTATAGTATGATGTCATCTGCAAACCGTGACAGTTTTGTTTCCTCCTTTCCGATTTGGATGCCTTTTATTTCTTTTTCTTGTCTGATTGCTGTGGCTAAAACGTCCAGTACTATATTGAGTACAAGTGGTGAAAGTGGACAGCCTTGTCTTGTTCCTGATCTTAGTGGAAAAGATTTTAATTTTTGCCCATTGAGTATGATGTTGGCTGGAGGTCTCTCATATATGGCCTTTATTATGTCTAGGAATGCTCCCTCTATTCCCACTTTGCCGAGGGTTTTTATCATGAATGGGTGCTGTACCTGATCAAATGCTTTTTCTGCATCTATTGATATGATCATGTGGTTTTTGTCTTTGCTTTTGTTTATGTGATGTATTACATTTACTGATTTGCGAATATTGAACCATCCTTGCATCCCTGGAATGAATCCCACTTGGTCATGGTGTATGATCTTTTTAATGTATTGTTGGATGCGGTTTGGCAGTATTTTGTTGAGGATTTTAGCGTCAGTGTTCATCAGTGATATTGGCCTGAAGTTTTCTTTCTTTGTTGTGTCTTTATCTGGTTTTGGAATTAGGATGATGCTGGCTTCATAAAAAGAGTTTGGGAGCCTTCCATCATTTTGGATTTTTTGGAATAGTCTGTGAAGGATAGGGGTTAGCTCTTCCTTAAATTCTTTGTAGGATTCGCCTGTGAAACCATCCGGACCGGGGCTTTTGCGTGTTGGGAGTTT